GGGAAAGAGGCTGTTCCTCAGAATATGACATACCAGGCCATTGGGTGCTTTATAGCAGAGAACCTTAAACTAAACCCAAGAACAACAGGCAGCTAGATCTGAGAGTCCTGCTGTCATGTGCTCTTTCCTTATTCAGTAGGATATTGTGCCAAGTGCCACACTGAGATATTTTCCCATGTATCTTAAGGAGGTAGCAAACAGCTGCAAGGTTAGTGTATACAGCAATTTAAGAAGCACAATGAAACCCTGATAATTGCTAGAGATACTATAACATTTTGGGGGCTAGACTATAAATAACAGTATGACTTCAAGCAAAAGACACTGCAGCTCTTCTGCTTGAAGTATTGGGCAGTCACTGACCAGAGAAACTGAAATCACAAGAATGTATTCCATATTATCTTCAGAATTACCTCCAAACAGCGCACTGGTGATGGAATTAGTTTTTCTTTTAATTTTTTAGCATCTATGAGCAACAAACCTAAATTTCTCTGCTGCTTTATAGCCAAAGCATCTTTATGTTCTCTGTGATATTTCTCCAGTTGTTCAGCAAAGAAATCAACACCTGTGAATTATAATTAGATTGTGAAGCTAAGAATAATAACCAATACTTTGCTCGAAGATAGCTTTATAAGTGTTTTCCTAATTGTATCATGTAGTCATAAACTGTGAGAAAACACACACACATCTAGGACTCTGGTTATATAAAGAGAAACAAATGCAAACTTATGCTTCTCAAATAAACAATATACTGCAGCTATACACATTATGCATTAGTATTTCCAATCTAAGATTCAACATTAAGAGATACACAGAGACAGTTCAGTTTGGATAAAATGAGAAACAACATGCAGCTTTGCCTAAAGCAAAAGCTGAGCCTTTTAAAAAATTTAAATTAGATTAACTTTTTTTAAAGGCATGACGCTTCCTCTCCATGAGTAAACACAGGCAATGGGAATGGGCATTGCCTTGGCATATGACAAGGTAGGGCAAAATACTGAGGCTTTGCTAAGGCATATGGAAGAAATCAACCCAGGTGTGGCTGGTGAACTCAGGCTGGTGAGGCGGGTAGAGCATCACATGGGAGCAGGTAGGGGGGAGGGAGGGGTTTGCAGCTGGCCGGGCACTCTGACTGGGAGTGGGGAGGCTCCCCCCTGCTCCCAGCCAGCTTGCAACACCCCCACCCTATGTGCCACTCCACTCACCCCACCAGTCTGAGTTCACCAGCCTGAATCAACCACTAGAAGCAAAGGCATGCACTGCTGCCCTGATGGCAGAAACACCTATAAAATGCAACTAGAACCAGCAGTACTGGCTTAGAATGCCCACATTGTACTGAAATGCTCGTGCCTAGGGAACATATATCTGACCAAAATGCTGAAAGCTTTGTCCATCTGTGTATCACATCTGTGCAGAGCAACGTGAAACATTAGGATCTTAGGTAGATGTATCCATTTGAGATGCAGATTTTACAAGGGTTTTTAAAGCACTGAATTATTGAACCACAGATTCATAGAAAAGTAGGGTTGGATGGAACCGCAGGTGGTCATCTAGTCCAATCCACTGCTGAAGACAGGATCATCCTATCTAAACCATCCTAGACAAGTGACTAGACAATTTTTCTGTACTTTTTTTGAACCATAGTGCCCAAGACTGGACACAGTGTTCCAGGTGAGGCCTCATCAGTGGAAAGATCACTTAATACAGCCTGGTATGCTTTTGGCTTTTTTGGAACAAGGATCACTTAATAAAATTTATAATAAAACATAACGTAGGGATATTGTGATTATGTAAAAAGCAAAACAACCCAAACATTGCAATCCTAAGAAATTCAGTGAGGGTTACACTTAAATGAAATGCATGTATCTTATGGTAAGGAAAGGCACAGATAAGGCACATTTACCTTAAGTATGCAACCTTAACTGCCCTCTTGTACAGACACTAAGCAATATTAACCATACAGTTAGATTTGTAGACCCATAGCAATACAGGCACAGAAAGGACCTCAAGAGTTCATCTAGTCCAGCTCTCTCCTTTGAAGAAGGGTTAATACATACTAACTTATCCAAGATTTCCAGTGAAACTGATAACATCCTAAAGGAGCTTGTTCAAGTGTTTCACTACCCTTAAAATTATATCTATCTATCTATCTGTTGCAAACAGGGGAGAAACTTGGAAAATAAAAAAAAATACTCTTCTCCTAAATGTAAATATTATGTTAATTCTGTACTAATTTGATAAGAAAGTGTCCCCCAGTGTAGACAAGTATGGTGTAGATTTCTCTTTGTGTGAATGCCTGTCTGGAAGTTGCTTTTCTCCCCCTGAATGACTGGATTGCTGCTAGTTAGTCAGCTGTCAGTCATGCAATGTGAAGCAGATAGAGTAAAAGAAAGCTACATTTTTCAGACAGCTCCGACCAATTCTGAAGGGAACTATATCAGCCAACAGTTGGTTCTAAATTGGTTGTATATTAGCATTAGGAACATAACCTAGAAACTGATATACCATACCAGAATAGGGTCTTATCTGCTACCCTGTTCTTTCTGTGACAGTTGTTTGTACCAGATGCTTTAAAAGGAGGGTACAAGAAACCCCACAGAAGATAAATACGGAATGATCTAACTCTACAGAAGGTTCAACATTTCGTGAGATAGATAATGATTAGTTTACACTTTAAAGCATAAAAGTAGATACCTTTTATACATTTTAAACCTTACCAATGTGCTAATGACATACTCTTAAACCTAGGATATTGGCCTGCCTAGACTGACTATTCACTCCAGTCCGCCACCTCCACAGCTGACCAGCCAGGTTAGATATAGGTGGCCAGCATCATAGAAAATTAGGGTTGGAAGGGACCTCAAGAGGTCATCTAATTCAACCCCCTGCTCAAAGCAGGACCATCCCCAACTAAATCATTCCAGCCAGGGCTTTGTCAAGCCGGGCCTTAAAAACCTCCAAGGATGGAGATTCCACCACATTTCTAGGTAACTTGTTCCAATGCTTCACCACCATCCTATTGAGAGAGATTTTCCTAATATCCAACCTAAACCTCCCTTGCTGCAACTTGAAGCCTCCATCAAGGCCTAGCCATCTGCCTACTCCCTTGCCACCCGAGTAGTCAATCAGGGTTAGCTGACCCTACTTCTCTCCTTATAAATCCCTGTGCAGGAACAGAAAGTGTCTGGGCAATAAGGCTCAACAGGGTAGCCAGGCTGCTTTGCTGTTTCTCATACCTTGTACTCTGCCTGATCCCTTGGCTAACTGATCTGCCTTGCCCTTGGACTCCACACCCTGCCTAACCCTTTGGCTTTCTAACCTTTCCAACTTTTGGCTTGATCTCCTGGCTCCAGCACCCAGCTTGCCTTTTGACTCTGCACTCTGCCCAACCCTCTGGCTTGGCTTACTGGTAGAGGTGCACCGATATATTGGTCTGATATCAGATAGGTACCAATATAAAAAAAACTGTCTGTATCAGATATCAGCCCAATGGCCGTATCAGATATTGGAAAATAAATGCCTGTGCTGCACACAGATGCAGTGCAGCACTCAGGCAGTGAAGAGCACAGCTAGAAGCGTGGAGAGCTGCCTCCAGCTGGTAAGTCCGGTGTGGTGGAAAGGGTGCGGGGAGGGAAGGGGCATGGTGGGGGGAAGATCAACACTCCCCTGAGGTGAGGGAGGGGGCAGGGCCAGGGCCAGGGCCAAGCCCTATCCAGGCGGGGCAGGGGGGCTGGAGCCGTGGCTCATGGGGGGAGGGAAAAGAGGCAGCTCCAGCCACTGCTTGCACCCCAGGAGGGCACGGGGAGGGGGAGGGGCGTGTACCCCCTGGATCTGCGCAGGACGGGACGGGGCGGGGCGGGCTGCAGCCAGGGCTGCGCAGGCCTTTTCTTGGCAGGGACTCCGAGCGGGCACCAGTGGTGCTGGGAGGATACTGCATCCACCTCAAATTTTGCCACCGCTCCACTCCCAGCGCCGCTGCTACCAGCTGCCTGGTGCAGCCGCGGCTCTTCCCAGAGTGTAGGTGGAGGCGAAGTATTAAGCCACAGCTGTACCAGGTGACTGGCAGCGGCGGCATTGGGAGTGGAGTGCCGATCAAATTTGGGGTGGATGCAGCATCCTCCTAGCCTTGTTGCCAGCACCCGCTCCAAGCCCAGTCCCCACCGAGAAGAGCTCTGCACATCCCGAGCTGCAACCCACCCTGCCCCGTGCAGATCAGGGGGGTTCATACCACCCTCCGTGCCCTCCCGGGGTGCAAGCAGCAGTGGTAGCTGCCTTCCCCCCATGAGCCGTGGCTCCAGCCCCTCCCTGCCGCCCTACTTGGGCAGTGCTTGCCCCTGCCCCCTCCCTCACTGTGGGGGGCGTTGATCTGCCACCCCCACATGCCCATTCCCTTCCCTTCCACCACACCGGACTTACCAGCTAGAGGCAGCTGTATCGGAAATTGGATCAGTATCAGCCAATATGCCCCCTTCATTATTGGCTATCAGTATCAGCCCCAAAAATCTCTATCAGTGCACCCCTACTTCCCAGCACTTGAATTCTGCATGCTCCTTCTGACCCTGCTTGCTCCCCTGCACCCTGTGTGACTCCCAGACCTGGCCAACCATGATCTGGTGTGACATAATGTTATATTAACACTTAGAAAAGAAACTGATTCAGGAAGTAAATTGTATCAGATATTGGGGTCTGAGATGGCAGGTTTGTAATGAATTGTCAGAAAACTAGACTTCTGACCGATGTTTGTATTTGGCTTACATCAATGGCATTACTTACAGTAAATACTAAAAGTACCAAATATCTATACATGTAAGACTGTATTCTTTCTGTTCATAATATCTACTGGGATTCTGCCTGGTGTGAACCACCTGAATACAAGTGATCCAAGTCTCACTATATTGAGCTTGTATATGTTATAGGCCTCTTATAGGCTCCAACAATCCAACAGTTTATTAGTATGTTGAGCCTGCTGGGCATAGAAGGGTAGCAAGATACTGGGGGACTTGTGAGATTTCTCTGGTGCCACTTGTAGTGGCATGTTCAAGGGAGGGACAGAGAAGGACAGGGAGACTGCAGCAGGGACCAGATATTCATCACCTCACTATTGATTTTCTTTGCCTCTGCCTGTCTTTCCAGAATCTGAGACTGTATTTGAGGAACTGGCTGAAATGGACCACTGAGCTGCCACCAGTTGAACTGCCTTGGTGAAGGAAGGCTGAGGCATGGGAAACGCATCCCTGAAAGTGGTAGATGATGCAGACTTGTGTGAATACAGCTGCATGCCTCAGGCGATTTAGCAGGAGCAAAATTGATAGGGGTATGAGCACTGGAATAGTGGGGTATCCAGAGATATGGAAGTGACTGAAAGGTCAGAGGGAACACAACAGACTTACCAGCTGGATGCAGCTGTATCGAGCTTCATAAAGGAACCAATCACCCATTTATAACACTGTTCCTATGGGAAAATTGGTTCCAAGTTACGATGTTTCAATTTAAGACATGGCTTTCAGGAACCAATTATGTCATAAATCTGAGGACTGCCTGTAATCTATCAAAATGCTGGTAACTGGTTTAAAGGGAAAATTTATAACAAAATCAAGAATACACACTGCAAATATCTTTTGAAATAGCAAACATAATAAAACACTACTATCTGCAGAATACTGTTAATTAATTATTATTAATAAAAAGAATTTACCATGTTCTTGCTGTTTCAGCGCTTCCAAGTCAAGACTTTCATTTTCTTTGAAAAATAATCGAAACCTTTCAAAAGTATCTGCATATAAGTTGGCTGCCTCAAATGCTGAATGAACAGTTTCCTAAGTTTTAGGAAAGATATAACACAATTATGTAAAATATGCACAATCTGTTTTGATTGAATTTAATAGAAAAATGAATGTTATATGCTGAATTTAATTTTTTTGTACAAAAAAGAATCTATGGAGGAATGGTATGCAGTTCATTAGACTGGTAATAGGGTAGAGAGTGATTTTAAACTTTCACTAAGCAGTTCAAATATAGCTTTGATGAATAGTGAATCAAGCTCACTGCCATTTAACATTGGGTTAATAATATGAATGAAGACATTTGCTGGTCTCAGTAGATAGGTGTGCAGTGTCTACTATTTTCTAAGCTTAACCAAACCTAGAGGCAGTGAGACAGACCTTATTCCACCTATTAGGCACCTAAATGTAATTATGCTGCTGTTACAGGTTACCTTTAAAATATTTTAAATCTGTGGAATGTTATGCTGTTACAAAGTGAGTACAGCTACAGAGCAGTCACAAGTTAAGCCTTAATGACATCTCAGACTAGCACAACTGTGACTGGTGAGCAGGAGAGTGGACAGGAGCCAGGACTCCCCTGGGGTAGAGGGGTTGGGGAGGGTGGCATTAGCTCAGAGGTGGAGAAACCACCATGGGGTCTCTGGATTCCCTGCCATAGTCAGCAGGGGACATTTGAAGTGAAGGGCAGTGGGCAGAAGTAAAGAGAAAGGGGTGGGGGGGAAAATAAATAAATAAATAAATAAATAAAGGACCAAAATCTTGCATGCGTTTCACTGAACTGGGACAGGGGGTGGGGCCGTGGTTGGGCTCGTATTCATACTGGGGCAAAGCCAATATCCAGCAGGCTTACTGTATACATACCACATGGGGCACTGCCGAGACCCATTCTCTTCACAGAGGTAGATAGTAGGTGTGTGCAAAGTGGGCCCTATTCGATTAGGAATTGGCCCGAATCAGGGACAGTGATTCAATTTGTTGATTCAGATCACTGTCCCTGAGTCAATTCAGCCACTGAGAATCAGCGATTCAGACATAGACACAGCTTTAAAAGTTTTTTTTACATACCTTGAGGTAGCAGGCGCAGCTCGTGATTGCTGCAATGCTAGGGCACATGGAGTGCAGGTGAGGGACGGACAGACAACACACCCTCCCCATGCTTGGCAGCAAACCCGGAAGTGGACTGGAACTACTTCCAGTTCACTTCCAGGTCTTCCAGGGAGTGTGCTGTGGGGGGCCCCCCCACCTCCCCGGTGCAGCAATCAGCTGCAGGGGGACCACAGGTGCCCCCCTCAGATCCAGGACGCACCAGTCACTGATCTGGGGGAGATGTGGGGTGTGGGCCCAGCATGCTTCCCAGCAGACCCGGAAGTGCTTCTGGTCCACTTCCAGGTCTGTTGCCAAGCGCGCTGGGGAGACCCCCGTGCTTCTGTGGGACACTCCATTCACCCCAGCATTGCAGCACTCATGAACCCCTAGTACCTAGAAGTATGAAGAAAAAACATTTCAAGCTGTGTCTATGTCTGAATCTCCAAATTTTTCTGATCTCTCCAAATTGATTTGGAGGGTTCCAATTCGATTCAGAGAGATTAAAGGGTCCTCTGATTCAATTCAGATTCAGAGATTCAGCCAACAAATCAGGTCAAACCTCTGCTGAATCGAATCAGGGACTGAAGCTTTGCACAGCCCTAGTAGATAGTAGGATTGCTGTTGCTGTTTGCACGGGGGTGCTACAGCACACAGCAAACTGGTGAGTTGTACCTGAGTGCTCAGAGTGGTCAGGGTGTGATAGGGTCACACCCTTTGTGAAGGAGTGTTGGCTTGGGACTACCACTATCCCCTTGGGCGGAAGAGTTCAGGAGGGTTGCAAGTTTGCCCACCGAGCAAAGCAGGAAGGACTGGGAAAGGTGCATCTTGGAAAGCTGGAGGACTGAAAATAGAACATTTTATCTTACTGGAGCAGACTAAGAACCTTGTTATATGGCAATGTTAGGCAGCTTCTGGAGCTCTTAACCACTGGACTGGCTGCACGTTAACACCTTTTAAGTGGTTTAAAGCACTTAATATTTGGATTAATCTTACACCACTCCAGGGCAGGATCACCTTATTTTGCTCCTGTTCCATTAACTTGTGGCCACTCTCCACAGTTTTTCCACTCAAATTGAAGTCTTCCAGCCTCCCAGAAGGCAGTGGCGAGGGATGATGCCAAGGCACAACAAGGCCAGGCACAGGACCTCACCCACCAGGGACATCCGGCAGAGTGAACACCACAGCTCTGCAGCGCCTGGCAGCCGTGGTGCCACCCACCACCAGGAGCAGAGCCAGCCAGTCCACGCAGGGTGAGGCACTGCCTCCCCACTACAAACACTGGTGGGGAGGCAGTGCCCTGCCCCTCTCAGACTGGTTCACTCTTCTCCCAGCAGAAACGGAGTCGGTGCGAGCAACAGCAGGGAGGTGGTGTCCCCCCCAGAGCAGCCAGTATGAGCGGTTGTGGGGAGGCAGTGCCTCCCAACTCGGACTAGCTCACTCTGCTCCTAACGGGAGCAGAGCTCACATGAGAGCTGGCAGGAGGCACTGTGGCTTGCAGGTACTACAGGGTTGCAGCACTTGCTCTGTCCGGTGGGAACAGCGAGTCTGTCCTTCCCTTAGCAACTAGCCCTGCCACTGCTTACCAAGCCTCTAGTGGCAAGTCACAGCTGTGTAGGTGAGAAGCAGTCAGAGCAGGTGCTAAACAACACTAAACTGAGTAACACTAAACTGATGAATAAATTGATTCACATTTGTTTGGCTTACCGTTTAAGTTCTGACAAGGCCCTAACAATACCCTGGAATGACTTTGGTAAAAAAGATCAAAGATAACCATCACCTGGAGTGGTATAACTTTAACAAGTTTAGAAGGTACTTAGGATGGGTTAACAAACTTAAATGAGTAAATTTTAAGTACCTTTATGACCGTTTAAAAGACCACCCATGGGGACCCAAATGTAATCCTGTTCCAATCCTCAAAAAAAAATGAATGCAAAAGCAAATGGGTCTTCCTCCTGGTTGCTGCTTTTTGAAGTTTAGTCTTAAGGCTAATATGATGGTATTTTACAAAAGCAGAGATCCTTAACCTGTTTTTTAGCGATCTGGCCCAATAACTTCAAACAGTCTCACAACCATCATTAATTAATTAATTTTAATCAAAGAAAGGAGAAAAAAATCATATAAAAAAGGAAAGTGTTTGGTACCTTTATTTGCTGGATGATAGTCTGCAAATGCCTATCATCTTTAAACATGGTTGATAAGCTCGGCCCTTCACCACACGTCTTTTCTTCAATAATGTTATTAATGACAGGCTGAGTAAAGGCATCAAAGTATCGATCGGGTACAAGATTAGCGACAGACAACAGAGTTTCCTGGAACTGATGTACAATATCTGCAATACCATCCTGCTAGACAATAGAAAACAACATCCCATAAATGCTCTTGGAACCTTCCTGAAATGTAAAATAAGTTAGGATGTGAATGTAATTTTAGGGGTGCAGCAAAGAGATGCAACACCTGTTCAAACCTAGATATATTGCATTCACTTCCAGACCAGCAGAAACGAGAGACATAGCAAGGCAACATGCTAAGCACGTCACTTTCCAGAAAAGATGAATCTGGGATGGAGCCCCATGGGAAGCAAATAGGAAGAGCCCCGCTCACACTACTGAAATGTAGAGATGCTTTTCTTGAACAGCACAGCTTCTTGCCCTTGATACAGAAAGTTGCTGTGGCATCACTGGAGGTGACAGGAGAGAATTTCTATGTACCCAGTTTGATTCTCCAAAGCAAAAAAGGCGTTGATCCTTTTTTCTCTATAACTGAGGTAACTGTGACTGGGGAACAGGCCTGGGTATGGCCTTTGAGAGGGAAGAGGTGCAAAAATAGCTGGTTTGTGGCAGCAGATGACCACACCACCACCACTGGCACCATGGCAACCAATACTACTCCACGTGTCACTGCTGCCCAGGGTCCAAAGTGTGCCAATGTATTGGGGACATGGCCTTTGTCAAAAGTTGAGTTTCTTCTGTTTCCCTTTCAATATGGAAGAAATTTGCTGTTTGACATGGTTACATTTAAGTGGGACATTTTATAAAAATAAGCCTATTGCAGATAAGGACCTCACTGCATCTTACCTTAGCCTGGCTCAGCTGACTGTACACCAAAGGGATTGTTTATTTTCCTTCTCTTAACTTCAGACTCAGGATTTTAGTGATTTTTTTTTTTTTTTTTTTTTACTCTGGACAGCATTCCTCTATGTTTTTACTAAAAATTGTGGGCTGATTTTTACTTGCACAAATGACCATTTATATTTCTG